GGTAGAAGAGGTTCAGGGGGTAGCCACAGTCAGGGAGACATTCAGGCTCTGGTCTGGTGTGAGAGGAGCCTGGAATGTTCTCGGCTGGCTGTAACTTGTTCTGGTTTGGTTTGTTTAAAGAACTTTATAAGCCAGCCCAGATGGTCCTCGAGGACTGGAGCTGATGACCAAGCGGCTTTCCTTAACCCAGACAGGAGGATGACAAGACCTCCTGGGGCCACAGGGAGGATACAGCTTGCACTGGTGTCTAGATAAACAGGGCAAGGCAATCGGCTGGTAATGTTTGGTTAAGCTGCCCAGGGGTGTCCAGGTATTGTTCTTCAGGAGCCTGGTGTTCTCTGTCTACAGATAGCAGTGACAGATGACTCTTCCCCTAGGATCCCTTCTTCCTTTTCCTACCCACTGATTGACTTACTGGTCCTCATGGTTCTGAGCCTCATGTAAGGCAGACCCTTTAGCAGTCACTCCCATCCAACTTTCCAGGAGCAGGAGGGAGAACTGCCTGGACCTTCAGGACCTTTGGCTTGTCCTGCCCTACCTTCTACAAAATTAGCCTAAGATGGCAGCTGCAGAAAGGGAAGAGGGGGTTAGGGTGTAGGGAAGCCCTTGCCACAAAGTTTGGCATGGGACAGGAGAACGGAGCTGGGCAGGAGGCTCTCAGCATTTAGGTGAACTGGGGACTTCCAGGCCTCACCAGCATTAATTGTGGCAATCTGTGGTAGGGCTAGGATGTGTGCTGACTTATATTTGAAGCAGCTCTGCTCTCCCAGGGACTGAGTGCCATCACATGCCACATTTAGAGCTGGAGTTGGGTTATAGCCCCTCTACCTTGCCTCAGCCCCCAGGGAATGGGGAACACCACTGAGTGAGACTCCCAAAAGCATAGTAGTTATCCAACTTGTAGAAAGTTCCCCAGCATGGCAGCCAGGAGCCTGGCACCAGGAGGGAGCCAAGCTGAGCAGTCAGAATAGCACATGGGTGGGGATCCCCCCAACACACACTGCTTACAACCTCTCTGTCCAGTCTCCTCTGGACTCTGCCCCCTACTGTTCTGGAGTATTCTTAACTCCACCAATCAGAAAGCTGGAAATGAATTCTTGCTTAAGTGTCTTTATGACTCTTTGGAGTGCAAGGGTGGTTAGGTGTCTTGCCCCTTTGCAAGAGTCCTTAGTGACAGGTGGCTTATGTCACAGGCTTGAGTCTGCTGCCTCTTCTGTGGCATGGGTGGGAATGGCCTCATTCTCATACCCATAACGGCTCAGTCATTCTCACATTCCTGTCTGTGGTCTGTCTGGGATATTTTGACGTGAGGAACAAAGCAAGATCTGGCTCTCCCCTCTCCCAAGTAGGGGTGCCTCCTACACATGTGCCGGAATACCTTCCTGGTGCCCCCAGGCTGCTCTGAGTTCTTGCCTGAACCTGGACCTGGGCCTGGGCCTGGGCCTGGGCCTGTTTAAGCTTCAACACCACATCTTTCTGTTGACTGGGAAGAGGGAGGGGAAGCATACTGTAATTTATGTGCAATAAAATGCACCTATTTGTAGTACACAGTTTGATGCATTCTGATAGCATCCACTATGTCATAGCAGCACCCTTTGGCTGCCCTATATTACGTGTACTGTGGAACTTCCCACAGATGGCATCTTACAAGCGTGTGCTCTCTGGGGCATTTGAGTTTCACTCTGTATTGCCTGTGTCCTAAGCTCTACCTGGTCATGGTGAGGTGGGCCTGCTAGTTGACTGAACTGGGCACTTTGTTCATCCCTTTGCCTACTGATGCACAACTGGGCCTGAACCTGACATCTAGAAACCCAGCTTTACCCAGCCCTACCATGGGTGTTGGGCTAGGCCAGGTAGAGGATTTGTGAACCTTCAGGGCCCAGCAGCCCAAGCATTCTGACACTGTCCTGTTGGATTAAGTTGGGGAGGTTGTAGACAGAAGAGCTACAATGCAATGTGGAAACAGGTGTCCTCCATGTCTGACTTCCTCGGGTGAGGTTTTCCTGGTCTCAAGGCCCCTCATCTGAGTTGTACCTCTCCTGCTCTGTACTCCCTCTGGGCAAGTCTGGTTACTTTCTCCTTGCAGAGTTTATTTCATTACTTCCATTGTTACTAGATTCTTTTTTAATCACCAAATTGGTAACGGGACTGGAGAGATGATTCAGTGGTTAAGAGCACTGGCTGCTTTTGCAGAGGACCAGGTTCAGTTCCCAGCACCCACATGGTGGCTAACAACCATCCCTAACTCCAGTTTCAGGGCATCTGATGCCCTCTTCTGACCTCTGCAGGCATTGCATGACATGGGTGCACTTACATACATGCAGGCAATACACTCACACATTTTCAAAAAGTGGTAACTGAATTCTCCTTTTGTAAAAACAAAATAGAGTTTGAGCCAGGTCTGTGGTCCCAGCCCCACCAGTTCCCATATTTGTCCCTTTCCCCAGAGCAGGCTGACCTCCAACTGGACACATGTCCTCCAGACCTTCTTCAGGCCTTCCTGACACAGTCATGTACACACACATGCACACTCAGTGTGCACTCTCATGTGTAAACATGCATTAATATGACCTCTACAACATAGGTATACAAAATACCTGAATGGACACCAAGACGTCTACATACCTGTACAGTGTGCATGCGTGTAAATACATGTACAGTGCACATATGCAGGCACCCTGTGTACACATGTCTGTGGGCATTGAATGGCATCTCTGCATAATTAATATCTCCTATTCTGTAGCAGTGCCCTTGGTCTGTCCATGAGACACAACAGTACATGCAGCATTCACCACAGGTCCCATGTTACATCATAGTATTCATGCATAGGTACAGAACAGAAAAAGAGGCAGAGACAGAATCATAGGGCTTTGAGTGAAACCTAGAAACCTAGGACACTCTTATAGATGAAAAGGTTCTGTGCTTGGTTGTGAGGGAAGCACCACTAACTCCATGGATGTTCTAATCCCCTCCCCATGTGTGTTTTGGCAGATGGATGTGTGGCTTGTGAATTGTGTCTGTTGTCCCTTGAGGCAGCTGTACTAACACTGTAGCCCAGAGGCTTATAAATAGTAGAAGTTTGCTTCTCACTGTCAAGACTGAAAGTCCAAGGTCATGGCACTAGAAAATCTGGTGTCTGGTACATGATGCTTCCTGGTTCACAGAGGGCACACTCTTGTGGTGACTTGTATGGTGGAATGTCTGGGGGCCTTCCAGGGCCTCTTCATAATGGCACTGATCCCATTTACCAAGGCTCTACCCATCCTTTCATTGCCTCCCAGAGGACATTTGCCATCACAATAAGAGCAGGGTTTGGGGGCTGGAGAGATGGTTCAGTGGTTAAGAGCCCTGGCTGCTCTTGCAGAGGACCCAAGTTTGGTTCCCAGTGCCCACACAATGGCTGACAATTGTCTGTTACTCCAGTTCCAGGGGATCCAGTGCCATCTTCTGGCCTCTGTGAGAACTGTACACACATACAGGCAAAGCACTCATGCACATAAAATCAAAATAAATTTTTAAGAAGTTAAGGCAGGGTTTCATACTGGGCATGATGGTACATGCCTTTGATCCCAGCACTGGGGAAGCAGAGGCAGGTGGATTTCTGTGAGTTTGAGGCCAGTGGTATTCTCAAAAAATAATAATAAATAAAATAAAAAAAATAGAGTGGAGTTTCAGCATGGATTTTTTTAAAAAAATTTATTTTAGATGTATGTGTGTTTTCCCTGCATGTATATAAGTATACCTGTATCATGCAGTGCCTGCAGAAGCCAGGGGAAGGCGTTAGACCCCTTGGAACTAGAATTAAAGATAGTTGTTAGCAGCCATGTGGGAGCTAGGAACTGAACTTGGGTCCCCTGCAAGGTCAACCAGTGTTCTTAACCATTGAGCCAACTGTTAAGCCCCCTCAGCGTGGACTTTTAAGGGACATGTTCAATCCATATTCAGGAAGCTATTTTTTAAAGTATTTTATTTATTTATTTTATTTTATGTGTATGCGTGTATTGCCTGCATGTAGGTAAGTGCACCCGTGTCATGCAGTACCGGTGGAGGATAGAAGAGGCTGTCAGATCCCCTGGAACTGGAGTTATGGACAGTTGTTAGCTGCTATGTGGGTACTGGGATTTGAACCCAGGTCTTCTGCAAGAACAACTAGTGTTCTTAACCGCTGAGCCATCATTCCAGCCCCCTCAGAAAGCTATTTAACAGAATGTAAAGATCTACCCAGGGTTACTTACCTAGCTCATTTTCAAACTGCAAAGTCTTCCAGAGTACAGATCCTCCACTTGATTTGTATGGCTCATTCTCATTCTCATTCTAGCCACCTGCTTTAGTCCAGGTGTGCTTCTCCAGGAGAAATGGGTAAGAGAGTAGCAGATCCCCTCAGAGTGTTCACAGGCCTAGACACTTGGCTGCCTCACCATGGTTCTCATCACAAGACCTGACGCAGCTAGTCCCAGATGTTAAGAATGGTGCCCTGCCATAGCATGTGAATGGGCACCTGACCTACCCGGTACGAGGTGTGTCCATTTGTGGCCCACAGCTGAATGTATCCTAAGATAGCTATGAATGCAGCCCAACAAATTTGTAGATGATAGCATCGCTGTATAGGTGGTTCTTTAACTCACTATGTATCAGTGCTGCGCCATGGACTAGTTAAGAGGAGCATGCAGGAAGGACTTCTCCTTCGTTTGCCTTCAGCCTGTAGCTAAGACTCAGCAAAGCCCCAAGTACAGAAGTGGGCTCCTGGTAAACTGGTGGCATTCTCAGCCGCCACCCCTCTTCCCCTGGCAAGTCTTCAAGCAGACCCCACTTTGAGGCAGTCCATTGCTCTAGGTGGATAGGAGCCTTGTGTCACAATGTGAACATATGCACACATTGCCAAGTCCAGGACTGAGCCTGTTGTTCTCAGAAATGGTCAGCATGTAGGAGGGCAGGTTGTGCTGGGGTTGTAGGCACTGGTCACCTTCTCTCTAGTCTCTAAGCCTCTTCTCTCTCCTCAGGCATCAGTGGGCTCCGAGAATCTCTTTGCCCCAGCACCTGACCAAGGTGAGTGCATCCTCAGAGGCCCAGCTCTTGGGTCTCAGGCAGTAGAGCTCAAAGGCAGCAGGAGCCTTGGGAAGGACTCTTCACCCCAGTGGGCAGAGATACTGGTCAAGGAACAGTGGGTAGGGCAAAGAAGGAGCAGTCTTAGTGTAGTGGACAGCTTCCACTGACCACTGGAGGCTTCTAGAGAGAGAGAGGCAGGCACCAGTGCATGCTTATTTGTGTGTATGAATGCTGTTAGTGTGTTGTAGCCTAGGGGGTGAGCAGAGAATGGACAAGTGCATGCCTTAGGGCAAGTCCTTGAAGAACTTTGGTCTTGTCTGTAAAATGGGGTCATGAGAGCTGGGCCTAGTGTCATAGGCCTGTCCTCCCAGTCACTTGGAAGGCTGAGGTAGGAGGATTAAAAGAAAGTTTGAGGCCAGCTTGGGCTACAGAGTAAATTTAAGGCCATACTAGACAACTTAAGGTGACCTTGTCCCAAAATAAAAAGAGCCCTGGGGTGGTAGCTTGGTGGTGGAGCACTTGCTTAGCATGCCCAAGGCCCTCAGCTCATTCCCCAATACCAAAAAAGCAAAAACAAAACAAGGACCAGTGAGATGGCTCAGTAGGTAGAGGTACTTGCTGCCAAGCCTGATGACTTGATTTTGATCCCCTGAACCCACATGGTAGGAGAGAGCTGACTCCAGCAAGTTGTCTTCTGACCCACATGAGCACTGTGGCATGCCCACACACACCCAAAATAAATAATTTTAAGAAAAAAGCAACTCCAGAACCTCACAGCACCTCTTTAAATGGGGTCATAGTAGCTCCTTCTCTGGCCTTACTTTGGGACCTAGAATTCTGGGGTTACAAAGGGGGCCTGCGTCTGGGCACCAGGAAAGAGGCTGGCATCTGGCAGACATCATGATCTCTGTGACCTCAGGTAACATACCTTACGTCGCTCTGCTCATGTTCCCATTGGATATAGTGGTGACCGTAGGAACCCCTGGCATGTTGCCAAGAGCAATAATGGGACCTGGGCATTTTGGTTAGTGGCAAGTGGGGCTACTAGGGCACATAGGACCAGCCCCAGGTCCTGCCTTACAAGCTGCCATTTCTCTGCAGGCCCTGGGAGGAGTGAGAAATCCGAGGTCAAGGCGGGGGCAGTACCCAAGGTATCTGGCCTGGAGCGCAGTCGTGAGCTCAGCACTGAGTCCTTCCTGCCTGCCACAGCAGCTGCTCCCTCAGGCCCCGCTCTGGGAGCTCGAGCCAGCCCCCTGGTGAAGAGGGAAGCCCCCATCGTACCTCACCACCACGCCCCGCAGCCACAGCCTCCTGGCTCACTCCCTACACACGTGCCTCCTCTGCCATTGGGCGCCTTCGTGGGGCCCGGCCAGGTGGCGCCCAACAGCCTGCACCTGCACAGCCTCAGGTGGGAAGAGGGCGTGGTCGTGGGGCGGGGCCTTAGGGAGAGAGGGTGGAGCCAAGGCGGTGGGAAAGGGAGATGCCCCAAGGATGGAAGCCTGCCTAGAGCGGAGGGGAGGGTTGTGGGGCATCCAGGTCCTGAGGGCCAGGGGCCAGTGAGCCCTGTATCCCTCAGCAGGAGCAGCAGCACGAGCAGCAGCGCCCCCCTGGGCCTGGCAAAGCACGTGTCACTGTCGCCCAACGGCCCTGGCCCCCACCTGTCTACCTCACACCTGGCGCTCCGGTCCCAGGCGCAGCACCAGCACCACACCGCGGCAATGTTCGCTGCACCCCCAACACTGCCCCCGCCCCCGGCGCTGCCGGCCAGCAGCCTGGTTATCCCAGGACACCCCGCCGCTGGTAGGTGTGGCACCCAGGGGTGTGCACTCAGTCTTGACACTCAGCCTTGATGGGGCCCTGGGACAGGGTGGGAGAGGAGGGGGGTGAGGAAGGTGTGTGGGCTGACGCTCCCCAGAGGTCTTAGCAGTCATGTGGGTAGCACCTGTAACCAGTCAGCCTGTCCCCACCCTACACTGGGCCTCCACCTTTGCTGCTCCCAGTCTCCTGCAGGCCAGGAGTGGGAAACAAGTGCCTCCGCTTGCCTCCGGCTGTAGCAGTCAAAAATTGCTCTTCTCCGGATTTCTGAAAAGTCAGTCCGCCATCCTGCAGGGAACAGGGACCAGGCCTGGGGGCCTGTCTCCCAGCCCTGCCCCAAGAGCCCAGTGAGGCCGTGGGCCATGTGGGGCAGGGCTTACCGACTTCTCTCTTGCCTCTAGATGCCAGCCTGTTGATCTCATTCAACCAGCCAATCATGTATTGCCAGCCTCATTCGGGGATTCTGATTGGTACTTGGTCACAGGCTCCTCTCTTACCTCCACCCCTGGGCCCGCACGTAGCGAGCGGCCGCCACGGCTTAGCCTGCCGACCCCGGGAGTGCCAGGTGACTATCCGCCTCGCCCCGCTGGGAGCCCGCGGCCGACGTGCCTCTCCGTCTCTCTCTCTTTTTCTCTTGTAGATCACGAGCTGCTCAGGCAAGAGCTGAACACGCGGTTTCTGGTGCAGAACGCGGAGCGGCCTGGCGCCTCCCTGGGCCCGGGGGCTCTGCTACGGGCCGAGTTCCACCAGCACACACACCAGCACACACACCAGCACACGCACCAGCACACACACCAGCACCAACACACATTCGCCCCCTTCTCGGGGCTGCCCCCGACGCCGCTCATGCCGCCCACCGCACCGGTGCGTAAGCCCGAGTGCTGGCCGGGGTGGGCTGGGCGGGACAGGCAGACCCACACTCAAACGCTTGCTCCCACTCACACAGTCCGTAAGCAGGCAGCCAGGTGTCTCCTGCTTGTGTGTTTGTCCAGACCCTTCTCTCGCTGGGTGCTGGCCACCCTCTAGTCTCCCCTCAGGCTTTGAGATCGGGTCCTGAACTTGGTCAGGTGCCCCTTGTCCACAGGCACATGACAGGCCCTGGGGGCTAGCTGCACCCATGCTAGATCTTCATCATGACACCAGGTCTGGAACCCAGGCAGAACTGGGCAGCAAGGAAAAGGCCATTACAGTCCTTGTGGGCCCCGTGCCCATTTCCACTTCCTGTGCAGCCACTTACTCTCTGTGTCAGCAGCCTGGGCGGTTCTCAGCTTGCTTACCAGCCAGGGCTTCATGCCGGCTCCCCTACCCCGTACCTCAGGTGGGCATACACAAGCCTCCCTGGGCCAGGTGCCTGGACCCTGCAAGCAGGGCCAGGAGTCAGTGCCTTCAAGGAGCCATGTGACACCAGGCCACCAGCTTCAAAAGGCAGTAGCCATCTTGGCCACTGCCCAAACCAGCTGGGGAGGTTGGGGGTTGGGCCCATCATATGATGGAGGGCATCTGGTGTGTGCTGGAGGACTCAATTCTGCTTTCTTCCTTTGCAGTTTGACAAGTTCTCACCCAAGCTGGACAGCCCCTACTTCCGACATTCCAGTGTGAGTCTTTGTGCTCAGGTCAGGCTTCCTGCCTGCTGGGGGTGTAGGGAAGCTGTACTTTGTATCTCTTCCTAGATCCAGAGGGAGGGAGAGGGGTGCTTAAGTACCCTCCACTGTGGGGGGCCCACAGCCCAGAACTCTGTCTCTCTCTTGCAGCTCTTCCCGCCCTTCCCTCCCACTGGCCCCGGGCTGCCCGCCCTGCTTACGAACCCTGGCCCCTTTGGGTCCCTGCAGGGCGCTTTTCAGCCCAAGGTACAGCTGCTCCTGGCAGGGAGGTGGCCTGGCATGTGGGTGGGGCTCTGGCAGGGCTCAGAGCTACACAATAGCTCCAACCCTTATTGCAATCTGGCCCTTGAAAGCAACCCCTGCTGGTTGGGGTCCTGTTTGCAGTCAGAAAGCTTGCTGAGCAAGGCAGCAGCCCAGGGCAGGGCCACCTAACTTGGCAACCACACCCATCACTTTGCCCTGGAGGGAAGGAGCGGAAGAGCCAGGAGCTGGGCAGGAGAGGTGCCATGGCCTCTACTTTCAAACGGACAGTGGGAATCTCACTTTAGCCCACCTATGTCCATGCAGTAGACCCCCCTGAAGCTCCAGGGCTGAGGACTGGGCTTGCTCCCTTCTCTCACAGTGAGGCAGCCAACTCTCCCTAGTGATATCATGAGCCCTTCTTTCATGCTTGACAAATCCTCTTGACTGAGAGGAAGGTGGTCCTATGATGGGACCTGGGAAACAGCATACAGGGTCCCTATGGGAAAGCAGGCAAAGGCACAGCTCATCCCAGAACCTGGGGTCCCAGAAGCCTCATGTACTCTCCTTTCTCAGCACAGGGGTCACTCACACCTCTCTTCCTCTCCCCCTACACCCTCAGACTTCAAACTCAATCGAGGTAACAGGCCGGGCCAGTGCGGTTCACACCCTCCTACAGAAAGCCCCTGGGGTAGGTGTCATCAGTCACCCATGTAGTTGGCAGCATTCACTCATGCTGTCTCCACCCCTGGGCCTGTGCTCCCATAGGGCCTGGATATGACTCTCCTCTCCTGTCTATCACAGGTGTCTGATCCATACCGGACAGCAGTCAGGGTGAGTAAGTGCATGTTGGGAAGAAGGGTTGGCAGCGTACCCAGGACTGTGGCTGGGAAGGACTCAGGGTCCCTCCTGGGTGGCCTTGGGGTGGCCCTGATGGCAGGAATTTGGGGAAGATGAGGCCTGGGAGGAGGCGCTGGGCCCTCTGAGCACATCCCGGTCCTGCTACAGAAACCAGGGAAGTGGTGTGCCGTGCACGTGCAGATCGCCTGGCAGATCTACCACCAGCAGCAGAAGATGAAGGTGAGGCCAGGCCAGGCAGCAGGCGCACAGCCGGGGCCTCCCTGGTGGGGCCATTTGGGAGGACTCCAGGGTGTGTGTGGAGAGGCTCTGGCCAGCTCCAAGGTTGCAGTGAGGAGCACTTGTGGAACCATCTGGGTGGAGCCTGTGTTGGGGAGGCAGTTCAGAGACCAGGAATGAGCAGAAGTATCCATACGCATGTGCACAGGTGTCTGATGGGCAGGTGATGGGTGGGGTCAGGGATGGGAGAAGATTCTTCCAGAAGGCCAGGACAGTCCATGTAATACAGCTGGATCCTATGATCCAGGACTATACCTCTTATGTGCAGTTGTTAAAGTCATTTCCTAAAACCATCTTGAAGAAGTCAACAGAAAGGGACTCATAAGGGAGTGCTTTTTATCTCCAAATGCAGATGCTTGGGTGGAGGTGGGTGAGTGCCTGCAGTGTAGATTTCTAGGACAGCAGTGGCAAATTTGGGGATTGGCCACAGCGATTCCTGAGTGATCCCTGGTGGTACCCTGGGGAATAAGGGCTTGGTTCTCCCTTAGCTGAGGTTAACCTGTCACTCTGGCAGGATAGGCAGCTATAGGCACACAGGATCTACCCAGCCTCCCACCCACCCCCACGTAGCACAGAGCACACCAACATGAATATGAGCAAACACTTCCCCTCTACCCCGCACACACACAGGAACATACCATAGGGACTGGGAGGAACAGCAAGTACCCTAATGTTGGCCTCAGCAGGGTGTGGCAGGGTGGATTATCCAGGAGAAGGTGGAAAATGGTAATCCTGTACCTTGTGACCCTTAGAGCCTGTGGCCTTGAAGCCCTCAAGGCTGGCCAGTATGAAGGACAGGCACCTCAGTTTTATATAACTTTTAATAGATTCATGTTTTTTGGTTTTCGTTTCTACATTTTACTTGTCGGCTTTATTTATTGATTTATTTTTTGGAGATGACAGTACATACACGAGTGCTGTATTTCCATCATTTCTATGCCGCCTCTCCCACATCTAACTGCTCTGACCTCATTCCTTCTCAGCATCCTGACCTTTATTTTAATTTGTGTGTGTGTGTGTGTGTGTGTGTGTGTGTGTGTGTGTGTGTTCATAATGTGCCACAGCATGCATATGGAGGTCAGAGGACAACTCGCAGGAGTTGGTTCTCTCCTACCATGTGGATCCCAAGAATTGCACTCAGGTTCTCAGGAGCCTTTACCTGCTGAACCATCTTGCCCTAGCTTCATGTCTTTAAACATGAATTGCATCATTAGCAAACATAAGTGTATTTGGAACAACTTTGGTCTATGGATTTTTTTTCAACTGAACTTTAATGAAATGCAGATATTTCCTATGAATTGATAAACCAAATATGCTCTGAGTATCAAGAACATACCAATTAAAAGATGTAATATAGCTGAGTGTGGTGGCACACTTCTTTAATCCCAGTACCTGAGAGGCAGAGGGATCTCTGTGAGATTGAGGCAGCTTAGTTTACATAGTGAGTTCCAGGCCATCTGGGTCTACAGGGAAAACAACAAAACAAAAACAGTGGAACGCATCATTGTGACCCACATGGATCACATGTTATAGAAATGTTTTGATTACCCCAACCCGGATAAAGCCTACTAAAATCAACATTCCTCTCCCTTCCTGGAGCTGCCAGAGCTCGGACAGTTCCTTATGAGCTCCTGCTCTGAGGTCCCTGTACAAGCCAGGTCACCAGCTTGGGCTCTTTCTGGGGCAGTGGCCCAGCCTCAGCACGAAGCCCTGGCACACACTATGTCCCCCTGCAGATGCAGCTGGACCCCCACAAGCTGGAGGTGGGCACAAAGCTGGACCTGTTCAGCCGGCCCCCTGCCCCAGGCATGTTCTCGGGGTTCCACTACCCACAGGACCTGGCCCGGCCCCTCTTCTCCAGCACAGGTGAGACCAAGGGTCTGGGGCCTGACTGGGACCAAAGGACTGGGTCCTTTCTAATATGGGTAGTGTTCTAGTTTACTTTTTGTTACTGTGATGAAACAATGAACAAAACCAACCTGGGGAGAAAAAGGTTGGGTTTATTTTATCTTACAAGTTATAATCCATCACTGAGGGAAGCTGAGGCAAGAACCTGGAGGCAGGAACTGACACAGAGACCATGGAGGAATGTTACTTACTGGCTCGCTCCCCCTGGCTTGCTCAGCTGTCTTTTTTATTTTGCCAAAACCCTAGGGATGATATCCACAGTGAGCTGTGTCCACCCACATCAATCAGCAATCAAGAAAATGCCTCATAGACAATACATAGGTCCTCAAGCCAATCTGATGGAGTCAATGCCTCAATTGAGGTTCCTTCTTCCTAGGTGACTAGTGTATCATATTGACAAAGACTAACCAGCATAGGAAGCAGAGACCTCCAGGGCCCCAGTACAGTGTTCTTACCATCTACCACTCAACCCAGGCCCAAGTCCTCAAGCTTCCCAAAGCCAGCCCATGTACATTGCCTCCAGCCCAAGTTGCCTGATGCTTGGCAGCCTGGCCCCTCCTCAGACCTTATCCTGGTGTCCTTCATTGCTGGGGCCCTGCCTTATCCCAGCTCAGTACCCCCAGGACAGTATATGGCTTTTCTCCAAATACAGGTAACTGTTCCCAAAAACCCCTCCTCACCTACCACATCCTAGCCTTGCTCCTCTCTAAATGTATGGCAATGCAGAATTGGAACCACCAGGACCACATGTCATCGCACAACTTTCAGCAGAGTGGAAAGGAAAGATGTTAGCAGTGCAAGCTCCCCTAGCAGTTAAGTGTTCTTGGCCCTGCAAGCCCTTTGCTAAGAGACTTAGTGCCCAGGGTTTACTGGGTACACCTCTACCTGACATGTACCCAAATTCCAGATCTCCAGGAAGAAAGAATGACTCAGCATGAGTCTGAATAAGTAAAGTCTAGACACTTTTCTGTTATAAAACACAAAGGGAACTTCTCAAACTCAGAATCTGAACCCATATATTTGTAGAGGCAAACTGAAAACCGGTGTCACAAAACCTTCTCAGAATGGTATCTCAGCCTGTGTGTGTGCACATATGCACACAGACATACATGAACTATATCTGCCTTTCTGTCTACAAGATCCTTCTTCTATAGCAGATTTTAGGTCTGTCACCACCCCAGTCCTCTTTGGCCCCTTTTCCACACAGTGCCCCCTGCAGGTAGACGAAGGCGAGTGTTATCTTCACCTCTGTACCATGCAGCATGTTGGGGTGACAGGTGTGCACAGCAGCTATCCAGGGCTGACCTGACTGTGGTGACTCTCCCCATCCCTGGCTCTGATGGCCTCTGGACTCTGGTCCCTCAGGTCTAGGCCCTCAGAACAGCAGATGTTCCTGGTGGCCAATAGCCTGGCTCAAGTTTAGGACATGCCCTCAGTACAGGGTGTCACACTTTGCAGCCAGCCTCCACTGTATCCCTTAGTCCCTATCTTGGACCATCACTGTCTCCTCCCCAGCCTCCTGAAGTTCTCTCTTAAACCTGCTTCCCAGTGTCTACCACATATTTGAGTTCTTTACTGGGATTGAGTTGAAAGTATGCAGAGAAATTTGTTCTTCTCTGGTATCTTCAGATCCACCAGGGTATAGCCCCTTCCATTTAGGACTTATTCCTAAGTGCTTTGTATCTTACTCCTTATTTTTAAAAATTTATTGCTAGAACAAAGAAGAGTATGTATGGCTTTTGTATATTTGTATATTATCTGTTAATTCTGAACCTTACGTTACTAAGACACTTAGCTGTTGATCTCCTGTAGAGCAGTGTAGAAACCCTCCCTGTAAGTGACTAATACCTGGTCCTGTCCCCTTTCAGAGACTGAAGTGGCACACACCTTTAATCCCAGCACTTACTTGGGAGACAGAGGCAGGCAGATCTCTGTGAGATTGAGGCCAGCCTGGTCTACATAGGAAGTTCCAGGCAAGCTGGTGCTACACGGAGACTTAAAATATATACTACCTGGCCAGGTGTAGTGGCACATGCCTTTAGTCCCAGCACCTGGGAGGCAGAGGCAGGCAGATCTTTGTGAGTTCAAGGCCAGCCTGGTCTACATAGTGAGTTCAGGTCAGCTGGGACTACAGGGACACTGTCTCAAAAAGACCCATGTCTTGGTTCTGGGGGGCTCTACTGCAGTCAGGACCATTGCCCTTGCCCATCTTAGGGTTTCATGTGGCCTCCAGATCTGGGGACCAAACTGAATTCCACCGCCTGCTCAACTGTACATACCTCCACAGTGGGGGCAAGGGGGATGGGAATAAGAGGTACAAGTTCCCAAAGGAAACTAGAGTACCCCCCCCCCCATCTGTGATCCACTGCTAGAGGCAAGAGGTCCTAGGTGCAGCCTCTGGAGCTCTGTCAACCTGGCTACCCTCCACCTAGGTGCCACTCATCTAGCCGCCAACCCCTTTGGATCCTCAGCTCATCATGGCAGCTTCCTGCCTGCTAGTCACCTGACAGGTAGGTGCCCTGGAGGTCTGGCTGGTGTCCTCCAGAGACCTCAAGGCTAGAGGGACATTGAATGGTTGGGAACGTGGCCCCACAAACCCCTCAGACTACTTGAGTGGTACCTGCTGGGTCTGGCTGCTGCTTGGTCTGGGCCCTGGGTGGGAGCCCTGCACATTCCTGAGCACTTGTTGCATTTTCCCTCCCTACAGATCCCTACAGCAGATCCAGCACCTTCGGAGGCCTGGGGAGTCTGGGCAGTCATGCCTTTGGAGGTCTGGGCAGCCATACGCTTAGTGAGTGACTGGCCATACCCATTCCACAGCCCTTCCCCCTTCTGTCAGGGCTGCACCCCTACCTACCTCTGGGCGGAGGCTTCTCACAGCCTCTGTGGGGGTGGCTTGGGAAAGGCTGCCTGGGAGGCTCACACTACTGGCCCTCTGCTCCCACCGCCTACTCCAGCACCAGGGAGCAACATCTTTGCCCCCAAGGAGGGCACAGTGCTGCACGGCCTGCCTAGCCCCCACGATGCCTGGAACCGGCTGCATCGGGCACCACCCTCCTTCCCTACCCCACCCCCATGGCCCAAGACAGTGGATGCTGAGCGCCCCTCAGCCCTGACCAACCATGACAGAGAGCCTGACAAGAGCTGGGAAGACCGTGAGCGGTGAGTTGATCAGCCCTGAGTCCTGCCTGGTTTGGTTTCTCACTCCACTCTCTTCTCCAGTGTTCCTAACCCACCCAGCCCACTTCCTCCCACAGCTCTCCCGACAACATCCACTCTGCCCTGCTTCTCTGCTCCATGCACCAACCTCTCCCTTCTGCCCTGGTGCCTCCCACATGGCACTGTGCAGTGCTGGTGCCTAGTTTGGTCAATATCCCACAGTTGCTGACAGACCTACCTCAGACTGGGGTTTTAGCCCAGTGGTAGTGCTCTTGCCTAACTCTGGCTTCAATTCCTAGCACCACACAAGTAAAGAACTCCCAGGCTCAGATGTTAGCTGATGGAGGGGCTTTATCCATATGGAAGGACAGGCCTAGAGGCCAGAGAAGTTCTCTTTCTCTCCAGATGTCCCAAATAGCGTATTAAATTCCAGGAAGTTAACAAGCTATAAAACAGTGTAATGGGTGTTGTTAGCTGGGTACAGCTTGGTTGAAGCTCCCCAGGAGTCTCCCAAGGCAGTGCTGCCCTAAGGCCCAGTGAACCCTGAGCAGCACCCCTTGTAGTGGTCACCCCACATCCTCTCCCCCTACTTTCTCCAGAATCCTGAATCTGGGCTATCTCATGGGAATGACAGTGAACTAAGAGTGCCTGTCCTTGTGGAGATGACACTGGGCAGGTCAGGAAAACCACTAATGTGAGGTCAGGTGAAAGGGCTGGCAGTAACAATGTACTGGGGTTCTCTCTGGGTAGAGGGCCACCCCACAAACTGAGGTTCCCAGTTGCACAGGTTGATTGGAAAAAGGAGCTCACAAAGTCTTACAGATCGATGGCAGCTGTGTGGGTCAGTGCAGAAGGTAGGAGCACAGGTCACCAACACCCAGGATTTGGGGTAGCCCCAGGCGTATCCATATTGTGCCTCAGCCAACTGTCACCATTCACCACTGAGGGCACCGTTTGGAGGTAGGGTTGGGGGTGAGAGGGTCCTGGAGCCCCAGAGATGTACCCCATGGGAGCTAAAGGCAACACTTCTCTGTCTGAGCCAGGCACTTCCTGCAGTAGACACAACTCTGGTCTCTGAGGTCCCTGGTCAAGCCCTGGGGGATTCTGTCCTGCCCCTAGGCCTGAGGAGTAGGATCCTGTGCTGCCAGGTGAGAACAGAGTTGGCTAATGTGACAGACTGGGAGAGGTGAGAAGTGAGCCCTGGCCCTGCCCCCACCTTCCCTACACTGAGCAAAAGTGGAAGAGCCTCCTGAAGGCACAGCTGGGGACTCTACCTACGAAGGGTGGGTGTAGGGGAGTGTTTTCAGGAGCCTCTCCTGGCCCAAAGGTGCCACAGGATCCTCAAAGGACAAGTTGCCCAGGCTAAGCTTGAATTCTGTAAGTGGTCTTGAACCATCAATCCTCCTGCCACAGCGTTACTACTAGCTAGGCCTGCAGTATTAGATTCTGCCTGAGGAGAGCAGTACCCACCCTTGGGCCTGAAAAAAATGCTTAAGTTTGAGCTGGGAATTTCTGGATTGGGGCAGTTGCTTTGGGTCACCAGCTTCCCTGAGCATTTTGCTCCCCTCCCATGTGTGGAGAGTTGTGTCCCCTCACCAGGGAAGGATATTGGAACATCCTGTTGTCACCAGTGTGTTTACAGCTAACACGGGACAGGACGTGGAGTCGAGGACATAAAGGGCAAGGACTTGAAGTCACAGGAGCTTAGCAAACAGTTGTCTAGGAATACACCAGATAGGGTGATGGTCTTGTCCTTGTTCCCAGGGACCTCCTGGAGAAGACACGCCTGCTGAGCCATGCCTCACACGCCCCACCTATAGCACCCGTGGGCCACCCCATCAGCAGCCTCCTGCGTGGCCCGGGTGAGCTGGGCCGCAACGGGGTCCTCCCAGAGCGTGAGGCCGAGCCTCGGATCAAGGAGAGCCACTCGCCGGGCAAGGAGGACAGTGCCAAGCTTGCTATGCGCCCTCCATCGCCATACAGCAAGGCAGCCTTGGGCGACTGTCTGCGCCTGGCCGGCCTGCTGGGCCACGAACCTGGGAAGCAGCAGACGCCTGAGCGGCCCCAGGGCGACGTGAAGGTCAAGGAGGAGCGCAGAGAGGACGAGGCGCCCGAACCCTCGACCGTGCAGTCTGTACCAACGCAGCCCGGCTTGGGCCGAGAACGCCTGGGCGCGCCGGGCTTTGCCTGGGAGCCGCCGCGCGACGCCTACCGCGGCCTGGAACTGCCGCGCCGCGCCTTCCCCGTCCCGTCG